AAAAAAAATAAAATAAAATAAAAAATAAAATCTATAGGCTACATATAATATTAAAGTATTTTAGAGACTGGCAAAAGCAATCTTACAATATTTTCTACTAGCTAACAACTAGTACTTTACACATTAAAATCAATATCTTAATAGGGATGGGCTTAATTTAATCAACTGCTCTACATAATATCAAAAGAGCATTATCAAAGAACTCACTCTGACCCACCTAACTATGTCTTCTTTGGAGAGCCCTTTAGACAATGTGGTCAGACCCCAGCCCGGGACTAAGAGAACAGGGGAGGCTGTGAATACAGAACAAATGCTGGGCATATGCACCCCTTTAATTAATCATGCTTCCTTTGTAAATATCGTATTTTCTAATGAAATTGGAAAATATTCTCTTCCGTGGCTTCCAACTGGCCCTCCGAGCTTGGCTAAGGGAAGTCAATTACGCTGACTCTTGTGCAGTCAGCAGTCACCAGGCTTCCTGAACAGGCTCAATACCTCTGTGTTTATCTCCTTAGCTCTGCAGAGGGATGCTTAATGTGGAAGAAATTTTAAAACATTGCTCATTGATTGCTTTAAAATTTAATAGAAATACGTTTATTAATGACTTGGTAAATTTTTCCTCAGTCTCAATAATAACAACAACACACCACCAACAACAACAACAACCAGCTCTACATTTAGAACTCAGTTTCTTGAAAACAGACCAATTAAGACTTCTGCCTCTATAGAAGCATGAAAGAAACCAGATTAAAAGAAAGAATATTAATATAAAATACCAGGCACTAGGTAACTTAAATTTCAGTAAGAATCTGTCACTGGAAAGTCATGTGGCTTTGGATAATTCCCAAGGTGGGACACAGGGACTTTGTTACAAAATAAAGTTATCTAAGGCCCCCTGCAAGCTGTAAAATGTCATACTTCTTCAAACCACGACACCCACACAAATCCTCTGGTAGTACAACTTCTCCAAAGCACTAAAGAAAACAGAAGGGGCTAAAAAAAATATAAAAGCATTCTAGCTCTTTAAAACTTCTTAATTATTAAATCTGTCACCTCGTTTTTTTAACCCTAAATGTACATCATAAAACACGTACATATATCATAAAATAAAACTTCCTTCACCTATAGCCACTTACTAGCTCAAAGAACACAAAACCAGGTACTGTCCAGCTGGGCTGTCTATGTCCCAGGCAGTGCTCATGGAAGGGTGGAAGGACCACCAGTCAGAAACCCAGGGCTAGGAAAGTAGCCAGCCAGGCCATCTCTAAGATATTTCTCATGCAGTACTAGGATTAGGTCTTTTACCACTAGACACGATCTAGTTTGGTCACAAGAGAGGCAGCTAAATGTGAGGTGCTAAAACCCTATGATCTACTCCAGTATTCTCTCCCTGTGACCCTGTCTGTACTGATGAGTGGCACCTAGGTAGCCCAAGTGATGACTACTTCCCAAACTCACTGCACAAGCCAGACATCTAACAAACCTTCATCTCCTTCCTTCCTGCTCAGACTCACTGAGTGAGGCCCGCCTCCTCCCTTCCTGACACACCTTCCCTGGGGCTTCCGCACCAAACCTCTCAGCCCAGACCACCACAGTGCCCCGACCTGTCTTGGTGTGTGATATAAACAACTTCCACTCACCGCAAAAAGTTGGATGAGAATTGCAGTGACACTATTTGCAAACCTGTCCTATAGCATTTTATTGCCAGTGGCAGTCACCAGGGATGATGATGAAGCTAAAGGACTGAAGTGGCACAATCCAATGAAGAACATCCCCTCTCGGGGCTGGGGAGTTAGCTCAGCGGCAAAGCGCCTGCCTGGCAAGCGCAAAGTCGTGAGTTCAGTTCCCGGTACCGGAGAAAAACCAAAAAAAAAAAATCCCCTCTCATTCTCAGGGGCGTCCCCAGGCAGGAACACCTCCCCTCAGGGCCACCGTCCCCTCACAGACTCACCCCTGTCAGAGACACAGGAAATCTAACCGTGGAGTTGCCAGCGAGCCAGTTCAGATCCCAACATTCATCCAAGCTCCTCTGACTATACACCAAGCATCATGCTCCCTGCTTTCAACTGTATATGGGCCCTTTAACTGTATATCAACCCCTGCCACCCAGCACACTGGGTATCATTATTCCCATTTTGCAAATAAAGAAAACACCCTTCCGACAGAATAAGTGCCTTGTCCAAGTAATTCAGACCAAAATCTTGTGCTTTTGAGACCTTGTGTTCTTTCATTATCTCACTGTGACCCAATAAGACAACTCACAGCCAGCACCCATTACACAACCCTGCATTACATCATTATAATGTACCCCTCTTGAATGTGCTCATCCACTGAACTATAAACTGGTTGTAAAAAATGCGAACACAGAGTGCCCTGTTCAAAAAGAATGGTTTACTAGACACCTGTAATATGAACACCAACACCAAAAAGAAGCACTGACGCTTCTCAGACAGCTTTAAGATAGTTTATCCTCCCATGATTTTTCTTTCTACACACACACACACACACACACACACACACACAGAAAAAAATATACATCAAACTAAATTCATGAAGCTTACAAAGTTTAGTGCTCTCTGCTTGCTGACGGAGATGCTAAGTGACAGGCAGATGAGCTGAAGATGACAGGCAAGGAAAAACGAAATGCTACATAACCCACACATACACGCGGAATCGCTAAATGACAGGTATGGCGTGTGTGACCCACGTGATTGCCACTTTATCTCCCAGAGAGACTTAAACCTTAGAGAGAGAGAATAAATGTTTGTAGCCTTACCAAGGTGTCAGCTTTATCAGACACTCATATCAGATCCTTCCCCTCAGTCTCAAGAACAAGAAGACAACCAGACAGACAGATGAGGACCCTCAGGGAAAAGACTGGAAGAGATGTGGTGACCTTTGAACGCAATACCCTCAGTTTCAAACTAAGGAGTCTCTGGATTAATTAAATAACCTGTTCCACCTTGTCAACCAATGTCAATATCAGAATTAAGTTCTTTTAACAGAACACACCAGTGCCATCCAGTGTACCACTGGAACTACTACCTACTCATCACCCACAAGTATTTGCTCAGTATCCATTCACACATAGCAAGCCAGGGAATACTACAGCATTGCATACCTACAGCTTGCCAATTTGGCAAAGCACTGAGGCAAACTCTGCCTGCCCTTAAAGCCCAAATGACTTCTTACTCACATCGTTTGTTTATATCCACAGAAACTGGCCAAGTGATACACATATTCCATACTCAGATTTCCCAAAGAGAGAATGCTGCAAAAACCACCACCATATAACTGACAGGAATAGAATTGGTACCTTCCCCAGAAGGCAATCTCCGGAGAGCCTTTTGAGTAGATGCAGTCACTGGCATCATTCAGCCCATTGGTGAGCCCACTAGAATAGCCCATCACTATGCCTCCATCTGATGAGACACTCAGGATGTCCTGATGTCCTCTTGCGGAAGTCCTTTCTAAGAACTGGCCGCCTTCTTTGATGCGCTGTTGTATCATTGGAGTAAGGGGCATTTCAAAACTAAAGTAGCTGTCAGGCTCAGAGTATAATGTCTCCAATGACTCTGCACTGTAGTATAAAGAAGTGTTGTCCAAAATGGTCTCAAACTGGGAGCTGTACACATCAGTGGAGTCCTCTGTATATCCGGTCCCAAGAATATCATCGTCTCCTTCCCTAAGGTGGTCTTCTTCCTCTAGGATCCTGGAAAGAAATAAAGAGTACAGAATTTCAATATTTTTCTTTTTTCTTTTTATTTTCCCCCTTTCAAATACTTAAAAAAAGATTATGTTCTGTAGGTATAACTCATATTCACTGAGATTATATCTTAATTTATTTGGCTAGGATGATATGAAATACATATGGTTTGAAAAACTTCTTAGCATACATGAGTTACTCTCCTGTAAGTAATTGAACAAATTTTCACTCTAGTTTTCTAGTATGCAAATACAGCTAGTCCAATGAACGTATTAGAATAAAATATTAGCTTCTTATTTAAATCAGCTACATTCCACAAATTCAGATTACATATAACTACTATCATTCTTAATTGTAACAAAAGCAGTCCAGTGTGCATACTTGTAATCCCAGAACTCTGGGAAGCTAAGGCAGGAGGATCACAAGTTCTAGCCCAGTCTGCATATCTTAGTAATGTACTTAGCAAGACCCTGTCTCAAAATTAAAAAGGGCTGGGAAGGTAAGCTCACTGTGAAGGTCCTGGATTCAATCCTCAAAAAAAAAAAAAAAAAAAAAAAATTATAACAGAAGCAGATAAACACATCCTGTATACTTGACACAGTAAACTTTCAGTAAAAATACTTTCATCAGTTATTAATACTTTCTGATTTAAGACCAAATGCCCTGGAGACAAGGACACATCAGAGTCCAAGGGCTGCCCTCTGCTGACGCTGAAGCTGCACTGCAGAATTCAGATCCAAAACCGGATGGCCAATATCTGACCCTAAAACAGGCAGCCTGACTATAAGGCTTCTCCAAACCCAGAAAAGCGAGAAACAACTTACAAGTTCATATACAAACGTGAGAAATTAGAGCTTGACCACCTTCCTGGTTAGCTCCCTTCAGGGCACTCAGCAAAAGGGAACACCTTCAAGTGTGTGGCTGTGTGAGTAACTCTGGTGTACAGTGCTCCTTTCTGGAGTTTATACTGTGAGTGGCAGTTCTCTGAGACAGTTCCATGCAGCCCTGGGGCCAACGAAGAGCCTGGAGCTTCGTGTGCAGGGTGGGGTGTGAATTCAGGCACACAAACGGGAGAAATTAATATGCAACACGGTTTTTAAATATTAAAAGTGAACATTAGGCTACCTAGGTAAGGGTGAAAGCCTGGGAGATAGGCGAGTAGTAAGAACAAGAGGCCGAGTTAGAAAAACACGGAGCTAAATCCTGCTAGGATCGGCAAGCTACATCAGTCAAGGCAACTTCAGTTAACCTCCACCAGTCTCTGATTCCTAGAAATGGAAATAAAACAGACATAGGACCATCTATGAAGCCTGTCATAAGTAATTTGAATGCCTAGATATACCAGAATTCATATGCAAACCACGCAGTTGTTTCTGTTTATCTTAAATTATCGAATGTCCATCTTGTGTTCAACAATATTCTGGATTTTCACCTCTTAATAGCTTCCCATTGCACCTAGAATAAAATGGAAAACTCCCAAGCAGATCTTTCTTCCCCCTTCTCACTCCCAAGCGATCTTTCTTCCCCCTTCTCTGCCTGGCTTTTATGCATTTTTCAAATTTCAGCATAACTGTCACATCTACAGAAAGGCCTGGCCCAGACCATCAACTAAATTAGCCTCTCCCCTCCATTCAAATTCTGCTTTCTAATATCGCCATTCTTCACCTTCAAAGGGCCCCGCACAATCTATGATCCCACACTAATGAATGTGGTCAGTGTCTGTCTTCAGCAGTAAGTCCCGTGAGGGCAGTGACCGCCATGGGCCCTGTCTACTTCAACCTGACTTTGTGTCAAGCATCTATCAAGGTCAAAGGTGCAGTCAACAACCAAAAACTATTTGTGGAAAGAAAGGGAGGGAAGGAGAAAGAAGAGGAGGAATAAATTAATCACCCAAACAACAGCAAAAGTGAATATTCCAGTGGGACTATAAACAGCCATACGTCACATAATAAGGATGCTTTTGGGTGAAGTCTGCAGGGTTTATGTTAGGGGTGAGGGAATGAGGAAGATCCTGATAGTCATCTCAGGGATCTGGTAATTGTACAAGCAAAGGCATTTCCTCCTATGAAAGAAAAAAACAAGACAAAACACTCTTCAGCTTTGATAAAGATCATTTCTCATAGAAAGGACAGTACAGTGTCATGAGGACCAACAGGAGGAAATGGTACAAATTCCAAGTGAGGGAGGGCAGGAGAAACAAAGATAGGGAGAAAGGAGATTAGGCAGACATGGGGGCACCTGCCTGTAACCCCAGCACAGCTCTCTGGGAGGCCGAGGAAAGAAGACTGCAAGTTCATGTCCAGCCTGGGCAATTTAGCGACCTGGTAAGACCTAGTAAGACCTTCTCTTAAACTAAAAAGGGCTGAGAATGTAGCTCCATGTGAAAGTCCTGGTTTAATCACAGTACAAAAGCAAAACCAAACCTACAACTTCAGGCCACAAGGTTATCTACATCCCTAATCCAACTAAAGGATTCCTCTGAGAACACATACTTACCAACCTCAGACCATGTGTGCCCTCTCCCTTGAGTGTCAGTACTCGTTAAATCTGCCTAATAAATGTTTTCTATGCCTCTTACTAATGCGTCCTGAAATTCCTTTCCTCTGCCGAGAGTCAGAAACCCACGAGCGGGCTGAGTCACGGTTTCCAGCTCCTCTTTTGGGGAGCTCCTTACTGGTAGCAGAAGTACAGTACACAGCAAATGACTTAGCCAGAAGGAACGCTCACAGTCAGACTACAACCAAAGGGAGTGAAGAAAGATGAGCGGGTCTTCCAAATACAACAAAAGTCAGAAATGGATCCTCAAAGCTGAGTGTTCCTTGTCCCAGGCTCTAAGCTGGTATGGCATCAGCATCACAGGGAAAGACCAGAAAATGCCACGTGATGCCAAGTTTTCTTGCCCCAGCCATAAATGAAAACAGACGCTACTGTGAGAAGAAGGGATTCCCAAGTGAATACCATGGAACCGATGAATTACGGAGTCCACTTCTGGCCTTCTGAGCCATCCCCTCTACATACAGAACACTGAGGGGCCCAAATCTGGGCTCACACATGAGAAAGCAGGCCGTGTTGTAGACTGCATACACACAGCTCTGCTGTCCCTGGTTGTGCAACCAGAGGAAACACCTAAGAAAGGATGTAATGTACCAGACATGACAACAGAGTCCAAATACTGTCATATTATTAAAAATAATTAGGGACTGTTTTAGTTACCATGATGTGGAAAACTCAAAACCTGCCAAATACAATAAATGTCAGAAATGGATTTGCAAAGGTGAGTGTTCCTTGTCTCTTCCAAACTCTACTTCCCTGGCCCGAGCCTAATGGACAACTTCATTACAAAATTACTTTACTGACTTAAAAGCTTAGAATATAAGAAAGATCTGGCCT